CGTAAGCCACCGTAAGCAAATTCCTCACTGTCAAAGAAACCGGACAAGAATGTTGACTCTGGCTCTGGTGTGTTGCGGGGGCTCAACAGCCGCTTGTGAGGTGATGGACAACTCTTGGCTAGCAGCGCTGCGTGCGCATGCGCTCATTGCTTGAGCCGCTTCTGGCCGCGTCGCCCGCCAACCCCCTGTATGGCCAGGAGATCCCGCTAGCCGCTAGGCAACTTCTTGACGGGCGGAATGCCCCCGGCCTAGCATCGGCCGCCGCGCTGAGCCGGCTAGCCGCGGCCAGTCGCAGAAGAGGGACATTCAGTGCAGCCGGAAAAAGGGGAAACGAAACCGCGCGCGTTCACGAGAGAAATTGTGCGATATTTGTTCTACAATAAAGCATCAGAGAGCTATCCAGACCATCCAAGCCTCTCAAACGCAATTTGTTCTACTTATGTAAAGGTTCATAGAGCTCCCCAGCCCCTACATAACCCTCACAAACAATTTGTTTCACCCATCTGACTCCCCAGAAGGGAATTTGTTCTACCTATATGAAGGGTCCAGAATCCAGAAACATCTCAAGCCCTTCCCAACCCTTCGATATGAATTCGGTCTACCCATATGAAGAGTTCAAAGACCTACAGAAACTTCTCAGAAGGGATTTCTTCTACCTATATGAAGGGCCCATAGACCTACAGAAGCCTCTGAAAGGCATTTGTTTTACCTATATGTGACAAGGGCCGCCTGCTTGATGTTCAAGCTGATCGCATCTCTCATTGGTCCATAGTGGTCCCATAGGTTGCAAACCCACCTTGCTGACGTCGTGCGCGGACCAGCTTCGCGGCAAACGTTGCAACTACACGAGCTATGCTATTTGGAATGCCGCCCGAATCTATATCGATACCCCAGCAAAAACGATCATCATTTTGGGGTGATGATTCAAACTATGCCTGCGCAAAGCCTACGTGGCGCGGGCAGGGTGTGAACCTTTTTTTTTGCGGATCCCCGCAGGGCTCCGCAAGGTCACCATGGCTGGAGGGCAGGGTGTGGGCACGGGCACCTAACAAAAGGGCAGCCGGCTTGCCCCAGGAGCCTTCTGCCAATAAAAGAAGGACTGCGAACACGGCCTCCCTGAGCCTCGAGTCAGCAGTGGCCGATTGAACGGCAATTTGTTGCGCAAGGGAGTTGGGAAAATAGCCCGAAAGGTTTTTAGGCTTCAATTGGTTGCGCATTTCGAAAGACGGCGCTCCAGATGATACATGGTTGCAAGCTCAAAATTTTGCAATGCTGTTTCGACGCACTTTGCCGGAACGTGGCTGGAAGGTGAAAATGCCAAAGGACATGGCTCTGAATTTCTCTTTCTGGAATTTGGGGCTTTTTATCGAGTGTCGCGTGGTCGGCTTTGGGGGGAGTTTGGAGCAATGAGGCGAGATTTGTTGCGATATATCTTGGAAAGGTCCAATAGCCCACTATTGTTGCGTCCTTTTCTCTTCCTCGGCTTTTTCCAGTCTCCGGACGAAAGCTTGCAAATTTCAAGATACCGGCGAGGACAATGTGGAGACGGACAGTGTTGTTTTCTACGGACCTTTTTCCGCAGAAGGCAGAAGGGTGCCAAACAAGCTGCTTCCAGCTGCACAGTCTCAGGTCAGGGCCGGTAACTTTCAGCGCAGCGGCAGCCGTCGCGCGCGTCATGACCTCATCAAGGGCCGCAGCGCTGTATGACTGGTCTGATGTTGATAAGCACGACCCGCCCAGGCTGCGCAGGCGGGCTCGCGTACGGGACTGGGCGCCGTTGGGCGAGCTCGGGCTAGGTGGCCCGCCTGCATCGCCGTACCACTAGCAACACGGCCAAATGCCGAGATTCCGCGCTTGCGCAGGGGGTGCCGTCCAGAAGCTACATGGAGCAAAGCATTGTTCTTTTGACCCCTGCAGCCTACAAACCGCAGTGTTTCTCATACTATGTAAGGTGTTTGGGGGAGTGGCCCGCCTTACACAACCATGTCCATCCCAATGTGTTGGGAATGTGGCAGCAGATCCTAGAATTGCAAGTGACAAAACAACCCCTTACAATTGCGGAATAAAAATGGATGACCCAGCCACGTGGGCAGTGGACGTTCCCTTACCAAGCATTTCCCCGAAAACAGTGAGCAACGCGATCCACTGATGCTTGCGTTTTACTCATTTGCTCATCGCGCGGCATTTCACTGCATGGCCACCAACTTGCAACCGGCGAGGCGGTTTTTGTTTTGACGCGTGTATCGTGTCGTGCTGTAAACGCATGCGGGCCGTGGGCGGTGCATAGTTCGCTATGACGCGTATTTTGGAACGGGGCAGGCGAGGAACCCCAAGACATTGCCAGAGATATTGGGTGTTACCCCTGCCGACATTGCATGTGAAATTTTGCTGCAGCCTTAAGCCGGGTTGCGTTCTCACTTCGCAGCCCACTCGGGGATGAACATCGATGTCCCACTGGCAGACGCCCGCAGCATTGCGGTCGTCGCGCAGGGCCACCTTCCTCGTGATTTGGGGCCCCGCTGGCCTTGGATGATACGATCCTGAGTCCTGTCACGCGGGGCCGGAAAAGGCACAGCCGGGGGCAGACACTCACCTTGGCCAGGCTGGGCTGTAGGCCAATTGAGCGAAGGTGATGGACATGCTTGGGGCATCCTGGAGATTCGTTCCCTTTTGCCATATGTCCCACGTTGGATGCTGTCAATTTGCAAGCTGAGTTCCCTATGCCGCCGTGTGTCACCCTCTGTCTAACCCTGGCGTGAAGCGCGCGTTCGTCGCCGCTCTTGTTGCCATCGCGGACGCAAGGAGCTCGCCAAGCTGCCTACCAGCTTGGGAGCAAGTGGCCCAAACCCAGACCGTTGGGAGGATCTAAAAATTAGATCCCCTATATAAACCCATAATAACCCCTATAATCCCTTGTATAATCCTTATATACTTTTCCATATGGTTGGGATCTAATTCTGAGATGATTTCGGGGGTCTGGGAACCCTCTTGGCCAATATGCCGCTGTTTTTTGCTCGCGGCGGTCATACATGACCTCTTCTCCACATGCGCAGGGGCATACTCCGCACCCGCCTCGGCAGTTGGGTGGGCAGCATCTTGGCCGCCCATTTGCAAGGAAAATTTGGCCCACGCAGCGCTGAGCTGTAATGGGGCCACCCGGCGCTGTATCCGTTACTCATTACAGGGTTTGTACCGCTAACTTTGGCCTGGGGATGGCTGTTGTTGGGCATTCGTTTGGGCCGCTTTTCCCAACGAGCTGCGGATGCGCTGCATGCAGGACCCACACCGCCGCTGTGCCCTCGTACCCTGGGGGCTGCTGCTGGGGCGCCAGCCGAGGTCGTTCCCAAGTTGCTGCAGTAGCCCGCCGAAGTGTTGCGGGGGCCACCCGCGCCAGCGGTTTGTCCCCCGGCACCATGCCCCAAGTGGATCCGGTTGGCGCCCCCTGTTGCGATGCCACCCTGGTCCCCCGCTCACACGCACGGGGCAGCCGCAACCCTGCGCGGCGGTTGGGTTGCGGAGCGCCGCAGACGGGCGGGAACTCAGCATGCGCCTCTTGCTTGTCCGCGTGCGAGCATCACGTGCTCCGCCCGCCTGGGCAGAAGGTAGGTGTAGGGGCGCCAGACTGGACCAAACTAATTACCGGTGCAGGCATACAAGTCCGTGGAAAAAACTTTTATGCCTTCCCCGCCCACAGCAGGACGATGACCCAGGCATCGACGTC